GTACCTTCCTCTGAACTGAGTGTAGAACAACTGAAATCGACGCTAGTCAATTCATGTTACAAGTACCTCAGCTACAAACCCAGACTCAAACGACTTTTAGCAGAGGAACATTTCTAGCCTCTGAAACGTTTACAGCTAAACGACCAAGTTTTACTATCCAAGCCAGATAAAGTTTCGGGAATTGTCTTGATGAATAAATCCGACTACATTGATAAGATGACCTCTCCGCCCTTTCGGATGCGTATCTATACACCAATTTGTAAGACGAAAATAATTGTTTTGGGATTCTGTTAATTTGCGATGACATGAGTAACATGCATTCTGTTAAGCTCAGCCGTTCTATGACGATAAGTAGGTAATGACACCCATTGATTCCAGTGGCAAGTGTGTTTAGACGTTCTGGATACGAGTAAACAGATATGCGGATAAAATAGTCATTACAGGAATGCTTACTTTGTAGAAGGGCTGAAAGTGAAACACAAATGAGGACGCTCAAATAGGTCGCAGATTAGAGGACGCCTTCTTCGCATCTAGAAGAAGTGTTCAAATGCTAAACTGCACAAAGAACTTTCATGTTTTGATACACTTCCAGAGGATAAATAATTCGTCCAGTACCGCCATCATATAATTTGCTTTACTAAAACGCGAATGGTCAAAACTGCGCTTTGCTCTTCTGATAGCTGTGAATTATGTAATTGTTCATCCACTTAAACTACTCATAATGTAGTTGATAATCGATTTTATTTAAACATTCCTATTTTTGTTTTTTTCTTTGTGTTTCTTTTTAATTTTGTTTCGCAACGAATGTGACACGAGACAAGAGAATCCTCGGGAACTAGAACGTAAACCAGCCCAATATGCAGGGGCACTAGAAACGCTGACGATATCTAATCAAAAATTTGACTCACTCATTGGACGGTGAAAATTATATCGCCGCTGCTTGGACGAAATTTATGTTCTTGCCAATGTAACCATTAGCACAACAGACGTACTAAGCAGTTTCAATTCAGTCCATGCTAATATCATGGTTACTATCGAATCAGAACAAAACGGACAGTGAAGCTTCCTCGATGTCAATGGTTAAAAAGACGACCGACGGGACCATAGAACGTAAGGTCCACAGAAAGCAAACGTGGAAAGTTGGTATATTCACTTTGATAGCTTCGTTCCGTTACAACAAAAGCGCAACCTGATTAGATGCCTGACCGAGAGAGCAATGAATATATGCTCACCCGAATGCTTACAAGAGGAACTAAAGTTCTCGGGACGCACAGTCCTGTAGAAGGGATATCGTGAAAGGTTCGTACTCAAGATTATGGAGGCCGTTAAACACAAACCTACGTAATGTTCTGTTAGAAAGAAGCTCGTGTACATGAGGCTTCTATTCAAAAGTGACTCGATTGCTAAACTAATCACCAGAAGGCTTAGAAACNTACCACAAAAACAGTCTCAGTGGGGATTTTCCCATGTAATTGGTACCATTCGATAATCGGAACTCTCCAACACTGACGAAACACAGTCGCGCAGAAAAATGCTAAGTGCTCCGCTAGCCCTCTAAGTCTGATTTTCGATACCTGTGCACCAAAAGTGAAAATATCATCACCAGCGCTATGTTCAGAGGGAATTCATACATCAGAAACAACGTTTTGCCGGAATTTAGGCATGGCATTGTGAGGCAGTAGGGTTCTCTTTTGTGAACATAATTTGCCTCAGTTAATTTCAGTTTTCCTGTTTTGTAGAATGTATGCATTCTAATCTGAGCTGTACTCAGAAGATGTGGAGTGATTGATTTTTTATCCGACTGGTCTATAGAACTGGAAGTTAAAGTGAGTCCTTTAAAACTGTGTCCCTATTTTTGCTTCCCTTTTGAATTAAAACAATAACGGCGGAAATTGTGTCGGACGTCGATAGTTAATGTTGTGAGTTAACTGTACAACAGGTGGCCGAACGGTTTTACCTCAGGAGTGGCGAGTTTATATCTTTCTACCTGTTTAGGAGGTATGCACCGCTGGTGTTTTCTGAGCAGGCCTGAAACGGAGTACACTTATTTGCAAACTGATTTGGTTTTGCGGAAGCCTTACCTGGTCGTGGGTTGTCGAAGAATTTCCAGCAACCTCATGAGTAGTGTATTGCGTCTATGCGTGAATCGCGGTATCCCAAATATTGTACCAACTGAAGCATGATGTGGCCTGGTGCAGCACATTCATTTGCTTTAAAACATCATAAAAAGACGGATACAGTTTTGTCTCAGTTGGGTGCCCAGCTAAACCAACCTGGCTCGTAGATGGGTGTTTTTCGCTTATCATCTGCAAGTTGAGTTCAGTTAGAACATCAGGTTGACGGAATCTCGGGAGTTCGCCTTCCCGATGTGTCCCAAGAAAGGCGAAAAAATTCGTGGGCCGTCGAGGAAATTCCAGCAAGCTTATGTACAGTGTATTACGTCTATACAGGTTACTGTACTTACCTGATAGAAGCTCCTTTTATGTTAAAAAAAATAGGTTGAACAGTCACTATCAAAGAAATAATTAGTGGAGAAAGGGAGAAAGTTGCAAATCGAAGACCTGGATTCGAGCTTAGCCCAAGATGTTCAAAATCAGCCTTCAGTATTCCTCAGATATTCATTTGCTTGACGTTCGTGGTGTCAACGGCTTCACTTTCAGTTCTGCCACTGTTGTTAATGTCATTGAAGACAGCGATTGTTTATGCCAAGACATGTCGTTGAGCGGGCCGAGAATATGGCAGTCAGTTTCTACAAATTTATCAGACTGTAAAGTGAAAATGTGGAGTTATATTAAGTTGATTGTATCGGAAAAAGGATTTACAAAATGCCTAGAGCGGGATTCATCGAGGGTGCTTTCCAGAGCCAGCAACTATTTATCTTCGCGAAACCTCATCCGTCTACAAATTTGTCTGCACCCGTTGAAATACATAGAACGACAAGCGATTCATTGGAATGACAACCATTGGGGACGTCCACGTTTTACTCTGAAGGGTTTTCGGCGGCTTACAAGGAAGGAGTGCGTAGATTGACACGGCCTAGTCAAACGTCCAACTCTTCAACTCTCTGTCTGTGGAAGCGCCTGGTTCTTGACCGTTTCCCATATGTATATACATGGCTACCTTTCCCGGTTCTATACTAGGACGTTTTGTCTTGTTGTTGCATGATATCCTGGCATCAGCAATTAAAACTGGTGTCGTTTGATCGAAGATGGCAATAGTTTTCTGTCAGACGGTACACTGTCTCCAACCATTTCAGGATGGTAAATTTTGCGGAACTTTTAGCAAACATACCATGGATTGCAGACTTCCAGTATTTCAAAAGTACCTTGCCGATGGTTCCATAGACAGGTTCTTATCCATCAGCATACATGAGCATATCATTCCGCAATATACCCGTTTAGAAAATCTCTTACGAGGCGTAGTTTCAGAATTTTCGACGAGGACTTCTTCCCAAGTGTGAATTCAGTGTGTGTTGAAAATCTGAGTTTCGCCTTAAACCTGTTTATCTCTTGTGGAGAATTATTAGCCGTGTGCACCTTAAGAACCGTTCGGTCACGAGGGGTTGAGTACCAATGGGAGTAACTCGTGCTTATTTTTCGCCCACAGAACCCACATCACTTGGTCACGTGCTGATCGTTTCCTGCGCTGAAAGGTTCAGTCATCGGGGGGAAACATTCACTGTGGGCTCTACTGTAAAGTCAAGTTCCGTGGAGTCGAGCACATAGAGACTAATTCGTTCACAACTTCAATATATTTCCCCGTTATTCTACCACGGAATGTGTAACAAGTTTCATGCTGCAACCAGAAGTCTCCGAAATACCAGCTTTGTTCGTCAACAAATAGGATGGTTAGAAAACGGTACTACGTCCGAATATCTAGTGTGTGTCATTCGTGAGTTGCCAAGATGTCCTCGGCATTCGGGGTGACATCTTTCGACTGCCTATTCGGCACCGCCAACTAGAGACGTCTGGTGACTGAATGTCAAGTTTGTATGGTGGACTAAGCACCACGCGATCGACAGCCAATCGGCGAACTCTCTTATGGAGTCTAGTATCAGGCCTGACCTCGCAACTAATATCATGCTTTTTTTCTAATGAACTATTAATTGGATGGTGGAAAGGCGGTGCTTCACTGCAAATTGCGTTTTCGTGGTGCCGAGTAATCTTCATTCACAGGAGCTTAATAAGTGTTACTCATATGCACTGTTCATTCCGTAGAATCCGCTTCGCCGTTAGCAAGTTGGGTTGGTCCAAGACGGTACTTTTATGCATTCCTACTTTGACGGTGCGCAGATGAGTGGCTTCCGGTGGCGGCACTATTACGCTTGAACCTGCAACGCATCCAACAGATCTCCACACGATTGCCTGTTGATCTGATTCCCTCGAAACTTTATCAGTGTCAGGAGAAACCCTAATTTTCGGTCCTCCAAAATTGTCTGTGACCGACCTACTATGAATGTAGACGGGGAAATCAGTTCCCTATACCAGCTAGTCGTATATGTATAAAAGTCCCCCGGGCGAGCCAGCAGGAGACGTAAGTGGTTTGTCAGCTAATGCTTCTGTCTTCAGATTACAGATTGTTATTTTGTCTTCATCCATATCGTAGTTAGGTGGTGCCTTGCAGTTGATTCCCCGATCATAATTTTTGTAAAATTGGTCTTAATTTTGCATCACTTTTGCTGTATGCATTTGAGAAGGACTGAACCTGACGCTCTGTACCTTACGGGTTATCAGGCCTGCACAGGTTCGGTCTGCTCCCCATGTTTCGCTTAGGGTCTTTCCTATTCAAGGTTAAACCGGACAGAGAGAGAGACAATTTGATTAGCTCTGACAGCATGTGGCATTGCACACTGTGTCAATCGGGAAACGGATGTGAACTGTCGTGTGCGTTTCGTTATTTCCGAGGTGTTGATTACTTGCCCTACAAGCGGCACGTTCAACCCGTTTGTATGTACTTTGAAAAAAGACGTCAGTTTCTCCGATGTAATTATCCTAATCCAGAGAAACCCAAGTGAGTCCAACGTGCCAGTAACTTATTTATGAAGCCATGTCGTTCGTCAAGGGGAATCACTTTTCGACATACAGGGAACGCTGAAAGGGTTAATACCGATAATGGTCCCATACCGATCCATTCGTTAACAACTACGATTCAGGTAGATAAAGCTCTCAACGAAAGGCATATTCGACCACTCAGGTGCTTGGCTTCAAGACTTGATATGATCCCTTTTCCCCTAACTACCCATCTGCCCTGTGACCTGGCTTAAGACAAGTGCCGAACATCCATGCTAGACGTTTGGATCGTGCCCTACTGCTTGCCTATTTTTGGTAACCCTTTCAACCTTAACGCGTTTTGCTCCTGATAAATTTCGCAAGGGTATTAGTCTCCGTCAATCTTGGGTAAAAACATATGCAAATTTTACTTCATAAACTTTTAAGACCAACTGGATAAAGTCGAATTCAATCGTTTGGTACATTTTGCACATCCACGTGGGTTAGATTCCCGTCCGAGGGTGCTGCTCTGCAAACACTTTCGTAACAAGTATATGGATAGATATCGTCCTCGAAGATTCCACTAAACCGTGTGATTAGTTCGGAGGGGTGTGACGATTGCGAATTGTATTTAACAATGGGAACATACAGCACCACCTCCTTGGCTTATGAAGGAAGCTCCTTTTGCACCATCTTGGTTTGCTTTTGTAATTCTCATTGTCAGGATCTTTTTTGCAACAGATAAATCGAATTATTTACATGCCTCCAATCGATATTTCTATCATCTTATTTCTCAACAGTAAAAGTGAAAGTTGCTGTAAGTTTTTTGTCGGTATGGCTTTGTATGAAATAAGTTGCGGGTTTTAATTTATTTTAATTAAATGAACATGGAAGAGTACACATTACCATGCTGATTTTCTCATTTCAAAGCATTTATGAATTTCCTAAATGTTAATCCTAGGGTGTTTTGGCAGCCAAATTGTTTGACAATCAGGATACGAAAATCCCAGTTAGCACGAATTACAGAAGCTCTCCAGCTCACCAGTACTGGGTGTACCGTGGGTGGCCGATGCATGGATTTCTATGCCGCACTCTTCATGTATGGGTCTCCGGCGTAAAACGGAAAGTGTTTTCCCAGTTTCTGTGTACATACGGAGTCCTGCTAGCCTTCGGAGCGCTTTGTTCATTAAAATGTTTTATTTGGAGTAACTTCATGTGCAGGCTGAATGAAGGGTATAGATGAGTTGGCTTGAGCTTTTTGCGGTTGGGACGCATCTGTGTATCCAAAGTCACCTATGTAAATAGTTTCGCCTTTACAGACTGATGCATCCGGAACGTAACAACTGACCAGTCGTGTCTCTGAATGACATTGTCCACGCGCACACACTTCACGCACATCTGTGAGGAAATACACAGCCGATGAACACGAACAAATTATATTACCTCATACGTTGGTGTGTGCTGTCACTGTGTTCCGAAAAAGTTTAAAACGATTTTATTCGTTTTAAGATCGTTTCTCCTGTCAACATGGATTTCTCGTATAGCGGACTGATAAGAAGTACCGGTTTGAAATAGAACCGTTGCAGAACAGCACGCTTTTTAATGACTAAACAACGCTTACGAGAAATGTGTTTCTTCGATTAAAAATGACAACAAGCAGAAGATAATATANCCGTAGAGTGCTTCCACTGGCTAGGGACTATGACAGTGATAAGGGAGATATTGAAGAGATTAAAGATGAGGGTGGGGACGTCCGGGCCACCAACTTTTAAGATAAGCGAAGGGATGCCGTCGGTGCCTGGGAAACTGGAGCATCTAAGGCGGGCTAGAGACGAAGTTACATCAGACAGTAACAGAGAGTGTGCAGAGGTTGGGGCTTGTCTCGTTAGCAGATTTGGCCACTTCATAGCCAGGTGGGGAGCAATATGCAGATAGAGTAGATGGGGAGGGAACATAGCAGCTAGCGAAGTGAGAGTTTAGGGATTCCACAATGTCAGCAGGGTCTGAGAGAGGTTTCCCGTCAGCTGCCACAATATTTGAAACTGCAGATGAATTTGAGAAGCAACGCCGG